GGATAAATAAATTATTTATAATAAAACTTCGTGGCTGATGAAAGTTAAAAATAGTTAAAACTAGAAATAAATAAATAAATAAATAAATAAATAAAATATTATTAATAAGTAAATACATTATATTTCATATAAATTGGGTTAATGTAATTCATTTATGAAATTAAACATAAATCTGCATATGATTCTCATATTTATTGACATTAACGCATTATCCTCTAATAATAATATTTTGTAATTCCAGAAACATTTTATTATATAATGTATCTAATATAATAAAGTAGTATCAATTTAATAAAAAATTGTTTATACCAATTACTTATTTAAGAAAAGCACGGTAAATCCTTATTAACTTAGTCTAAACTTAGTCTAACTTGAAACCATAAAAAGAAGTCAAAAAGAGAGAAGAAGCAATTTAAAAGAGTGAAATAACTTCAAACTGATAAGATTTAGGAATAACCCTCATTTGATTTAAAATGATATATCCGTTGTAAAAACAAATAAAATCAAAATTTAAAAAGGGAGATCCGCATTTAGCCTCCCATTTATTCCCAAGGAATCATAAATCTTTTTATTTTAATCTCTTAGAAAGCCAAAGTACGATTCAAATAAATTTAATAAGTTTTACATTACTTAGTTTATAAATAGCAAATTTTTTAACAAACTATTTAAATGTTTAGTATCCATGATGTGATTATTGATTTATGTATAATAACTTATGATTAAAGTAGAAATATTTCATAAAACAAAGATTTTACAAAAGTTTGTCATTTATATTCAAAAATAGGTTATTGAAAATATTATTACACACAAAGGAATATGACAGAACATTTATTAAAATTCTTTGTTTTAACTGCTAACAATTTTATTTATAAGCATTTTGTGCAAATGATTATATGAAATCATTGAATTAAAAATAATTGCAATGACAGTTTTATTATCTACAACATAAAATAATCGGCAATAAGTTAAGCTTATTTTAATATATATTAAGTTTATCACTTTTCAACGGACAATTAAGTTCACTTTTCACATACAAGAACCTCGAATAATTCACTACATTTGCATTGTATTAATTACAAAATTCGAATATTTATTATTGTGTAAAATCATATATAAATTTTAAAATAAGCTATAACCTTATCTACTCGAAAGAATACAAAATTATGTTCAAACAATATATTAGAATTTGAGAAAAAGTTTATTTTAATGTAAGTTTAATGATATAAGTGAGCTCATTTGAATATATTATATTTCAGAATATAATTCTATTAACTTATTTTTCTGCAACTTATAATACTCTAATATAATTTTTAATATAATAATATAAAGAATTAAGGTCGCATCTATTTTCTACATATTTGATTTTAAGTGTTAAAAAAAGAGAAAATAATCTTGAAACGAATGAAATCTTATAAAATTACCAATACATACAATCGTATACTATTCTTTTCTCAATTTAATTTTAACTCTAAGAGAAATTTGTAAAACTTCCTCGTATTTACATTGACTTATTACACATCAACAGCAATTTAAACTACTATTAAAATATCCAATGTAAAATTTTTTTTTCTAGGATCCTCAATTTATGCAACACTAATTTACTGAAAAAATTCAATGCATTTAATAATATTTGTACTTCCTATATGTATTTATACTTATGTAATTCAATAAATTTTGCAAATATATTAATATCAGAATAAATTATTAAATTACACCCAACACGTAACGAAATACATGTGAATTTCAGTTATAAAAAAAATTGAATATTAATAGAAATTTTATTATATGCAATCAATATCATTAATATTATAATATTTTGTAGAAGATTTGGCGATACAATGTATTAAGTATTAATTAGATTTTTGAAATATACTAAGGTACATTCAGTTTAAAGGTAAATAAGTCTGCAAGAATACTTTTAGTTATTTTATTGCAATTTAATTCATTAATGTTTTCAATTTCAGGTCTTTATATATTTATTTTAATACAATTTTATTAGGCAAAAAAATATTATGAAAATTGTTTTTAATTCAATAATAAATGTTTTTTCATAATATGTGAAATAAAAGAAATTTTTAATATCTGAAAAATACACAAAAAATAATAATTTATAATAAATCGAACGATGCAACGATAAAAAAAGATATAATTTAACTGATACGAATTCTTAATTAATATTTTCTTCAAATTAGTTATAAATGTACAATGTATAATGGAATTTAATTTTGGCATAATTGATTGAGCTAACAAAAAAGTCGAATTTTTCATTTTTTCAGTGGTTATTGTTGGAAAATGGTTTTTCATTCGTTTCGTTGTTTCTTGATTTGCAACTTTGTCGAAATGGAAATAGATTCAGCTACTTTTTATTGAGAATTCTTCTATAGCTTGGATGGAATTATCGTGTTTACGAAATAATGTAGCGTCTTACATTTGTTATTTAATAATATGTATATTATTAATTATATATGATTTTTGAAATTCAATATAATTGCTTTTGCAAGTAAGAATGTTTAATTTTACTTATATTAAATAGAAATATGATTATTTTATAAAATGCAAATAATGTCTAGAATTTATAAAATTGTTAATTATTAATGACATCGAAGGAATGAGAAATAAAATAGCATGATATTTTCATTATAATTAATTACAACAATAGCAGTACTTTTAATCTCGTATTTTATTTTAATTTCTTACATGAAATCATATTTAAATAGTAAGTCAATATAATAAATGGATGAAGCATCAAATTTTTAAAGGTAAGAAGTAAGTTTCTTGATAAATTGAGATTGTTGACAGCTTTATGTTATTGAAAATATAGCGGGAATTGGAATTGTAGTGGGAATCCAATTTTTACGGTGATTAAATATTACTTACATCACTTAAGCAAAAGTGCATGAAAGTCCTACATAAATTTGGATAAATATTATGATGAGTGTGCACCTTTGAATAACTTCTACCAAAGGTTGCTGACATACGACATAGTCGAATGAACACAAGTGACGTTGACTGACCCTGACCTGCTATTAAGATAATCACTTCGGATGTAAGTAAAAAAATCTATTAAGAGGTAATGAGTATTGAAAGATTAAAAATATTTAATAATTGTGAATATGTCGAATAACCGCGTATATATTATTGAGAAGGACAATTTACGGTAAATCAATTCACTAATTAAATAGAAAAAATTATGATTTTAAACCATTTATTTTTTTATTCATATAAATGAATAAAATTCTAAGTCTAGAAAAATATTGCTTATTTCATAAAAATTGATAGCATTATAATTATATAAAATAAAACTGGAAAACTATTGAAAAATTAAATTGAATACACACGACACTGACATGAAATGAATGAAGGGTACGAGATGCGTGTATAGTTAAAAAATTATAGTAATAAAATCTATAAATGTAATTTTATAAAATATAAATTTATAAGATATATTTTTAAATATTATTGTATTACAATCGCCATAAGATTAATCTAATACATAATTTGACTATGATGATAATAAAAAAAATATCATCAATTAAAATAGATTTGTGAACATACAGAGAATTAAATTAAAATTGAGTTTAGTGGATTAATTTGATATTGACAATACTGTTATATATTGATAAAGAATAAAAATATGTTATACATAAAAAATATATGTATTAAAAATATACATTAAATTTTTAAATTCAGTTTCACACAATTTTAAAATTCTTCTTCATAATTACATTTCTTTACTTTGCAAATTTAAAAATCTTTAAATAAGTATTTCGAAACGTAGTAATATTTAAAAAAATAAACATTACTTTTTAATGTCTGTATTTTATTATCAACCATATATTTCAATTACAAAACAGAGAATCGGCAACATTTCTATGTATTTTATCAACAATCATTAAAACTTATTATTGAATAAATTTACTTTAGTTGATATCTTATTAGTATTTTTAGTAATATGAATAAAAAGTAAAATTTGCAGAAGTCATATTTATTGATTTAGAAGTAATTATATATCATATTATTATAAAATATTGTAATTGACTATTAATAATTTAAATCAATATATTTTATAAGACAATCAATAGGAATTAATAAATAATACTTACATGACCCGATATTCATTTGTTCAAACATTAATATTTACACTATAAATATAAATTTATTTATATAAATATGGCATAGTGTAGAAGTAATTTAAAGAATTTTTTACATCATATGAAACAATATCGAAAATACTAAATTAAAATTTTTTTTAATAAATCATTATAGAATACAAAAATATTGCTATTGAACAAATAAATTAATAAAGGATCCAAAACAATTTTCTCCATTTTAAACTTTATATTCAATCAATAAATATGTCCAAATAATTAAAATCATATTATTCATAGATATTAATGTTGCTATCTAAGGGACTAAAATTGGTCAATTTTATTTTACAAAAAAGCAATAATATTTTAATGAAAAAAAAAAAACAATTTTTGTTACAATTTAAAAAAAAAACATTCTTTTTGTCATAAAAAATTTTTATTTTTATTTTCATAATAATAAAATATTAAATAACAAATTAATCATACTTCTATTTACAAATGAATTTTCAAAGTCAAAATTTAAATGATTTTTACCAACTCATAAACTATTTCGTCATTTTTTTAAGACTCCTTTTTCAAAAAACGCTATAGTCAAAAGTAATACCATATTTAATTCTTCTTTTATATATTTATTTTGTAATTTGTAGAGATGTAAAATGTCATCATTTATATTTATTGATGAAATATTTTTTAATCCTTTGTACTCTTTTCGTAAAATTGCTTTAAATACATATTCTGATGATACCGTCTCTACACCATGATAGAGGTTAAAACATCGAGCTGTAGTAAGTGGTCGCATCATAAAACAGGTTGTATTAGAATCATTATATGTTTCTAAAATCAAATATAATGATTGTATTACTATTTAAAAATCAGACGATACAATAAATTTTAAAATATTTCCATACCAGTTGCATTTGTTTTAAATAATGTAGTGAGTATCACCGAAGCTATCTGTTGTTGACGTAATACTAATCTATACAGAGTAGAATTGGATTTTGGTAATTTTAGCATTATTTTGTCTCTTTCCATAATATAATTATTTGTTTTCTGTATGCTATTAGCAATTGCAGTTCCCTAAAATAATTGAAATTAAATTGTAATAACGAAATTGGCTTAAGATAATTTATTCGATTATACTTACAATCTTCATCATTTCAAGTGGATCTGCAGATGAATCTACATTATAAAAAGTTTTACTTTTCCAGCATAATACATCTAAATTAGAATCATTTAAATTTACCTCGCACCAACTAACATTATTAATTCCCATTCGAAGACCTACCGCAGTTTGAACATTCTAAATACAACAAATAATAACCATTAACGCTTTAATACACACTATAATATTGTTATGGATAATTTCAACTAATAACCTCAATATGATTACTTCCTACTATGGTAGAAATTACACCTGCGTGTGTTTTTAATTTCTCCTTTCTAATAATTGAACAAACTTTATTCAATTGGAATATATTGACTTTAGCATTTGAAAGAAAATTATTTAATGAATCGACTGATTTACTCTTATCTTGCATCTCCTTCACTTTCTTTATTTCATTAGGTGGAATATTATATCTAAGATGATATAAAAAGTACATAATTCAGTATATATAAATTTTTTTGGTATAATATAATCATTATTCATACGTACAAATTTTTTAATTCTTTAAAGTCATGCTGACGTAATTCTTTAAAAGTGAACATTAGTTGTTTTTGTGAATATTTTAATTTAATATGTTTGGACGTGAGTTTATTCACATCAATGTTTTCACTAAACATTCGTAATGTATTTTTATTAAATATAGTGTCTTTGAAAATCTAAAAGTAAAAGCTGTACTTAAGAAATATACTGAAATACTAAATAATTAAAAAGTAATTTAATCACCCTCGTCTTATTCCATTTTAACATTGCTCTTGCTTTAAATTTTGAGAAACAATCTGAAAACATAAAAAATAAACTAATATAAATACAATTAGAAAAATAAAAGGTATGTGTTTTAATTTTCCTTACTATATAAATTTCAAATATAAAGTCAAAATATATTTTAAGGTTATACTTCATAAGTTAAAGTTTGAAATATTTCATGAACAAAATTATAACGGCTTTCAATAAATTTCAATAAAATTTAAAAAAAATTAATAATACATTTTAAAATACCCATTAAATTAATAAATTTAATTCAATATTTCATTCTTACAATAGCATCTCACAATATTTATTATTATATAAAATAAAAACTTATAAAATTAAAAGACTCTATCGATAAAGTTGATTCCGCTAACGAAGATAATATAACATTTATTAATCATCGATAAAGTACTTCTACTGCTATATCTAAATATGGTATAGTGAGCACTTTTTCTTGCATAAGTTTAAAAATGCATTTGTCAGATACCACTACGTGTGGCTTTTCGTCGAGGTTTCTTCCTATAAGAGACGAATGGCATTACGTTACGACAATTTTTAACGTAAATAAACATATCTGGAGCTGTATCAGTTAAGATAAAAAAGACATTTTTAAAATTATTTTAAAATAATATTCAGACCAATTAATGCATTTAAAAATAACTATTGATTGAACAAAGAAATCAGTATTTATTTGGTATAGACATTTACTTGGTTTTTTCATAATAAAACATAATTATATATATATATATATATATATATATATAATTTTTATAACTTTAGAACTACTTGTAAGAAGAAACATAATAACAAATTTTTTTACTCGAAATTGAATAAGAAATTCAGTTCATCGAAACAAATATTATTAAAGCAAATATTAATTCTTATTACATTTATTAAACTTAATAATTTTATTTACTTTTCTAATTTTATTTTATTCACGGATACTTGAAATTAATTTCTTGTAAACATGAATATTTTCATAGATCGAATAGATATAGTTTTCACGCAAATATCATTGTACATTTCATTTATAAAGATAGCTTTTTTTCCTAATCAAATTGATAAAATGCATGATAAATAAATATATCTAAAGTATATAACCTTAGTTATCCTTCCTTTTGGTTTTTATTTTGTATTTATTTATTTTCTTTTATCCATAGGGACTCTTAATATTTTCACTCTTTTAAAAACTGTCGAATCAGTAATAGAAAATTCAGCTTTATAAAGTATTTATTTTATTTATGGTAATTCAATATGAAATTTTCGTAACAATTTAATATTTTATTTTAATTGTAAATAACTGATTTCATAAGTTCACAAAATATGACGAGTCTAAATTAAATCGAGAGAAAATTAAATCGTGCATAAATAATTAATTCTTATAAAAAAATTCTATAAAGTATATATTCATTAAAAGGCAAGAATTGAGTTCAATAGTGTACACTGTACTTATTATGCATGAAATAAATGCTAATCTGTATAAAAGTATAATGAAAAACATATTTCGTCATGTAGAGATTATTAATATCGATTGAAAATTTATAAATTCATACTATTTACCAAAAAATTCATTTTAATGATTTTAAATAAAATAAAATATTGGCAATTTATTATAAATACTTATGAAGCAATTGGCAAAATAAATTAATGTTGTATATGACAAATTAATGTTTTATTATAAATTAAATAATATATATTAAATATTAAATATTAAATAATAATAGAGTGATGTAGAACTGAAAATATGCAAAAATCAAAATGGAAATAATATTTAAAGTAACAAAATAGGTAAGTCAATTTCGATTCGTCGATACCCAAGATTCAAATAAATGTTGCAATTTATATACGAAGAAAGTTTTAATTAATATTGTAATTGACATTCTTTCTATAAAGTGTATGGAAGGAAAATTTTCATAGGAATTTGATGAGACAAAAATTATTTCATATTAAATTTCATTTATTTTAATTAAAAATAATATTATATGCTAATGAGAAATATATATTTCTATAATGGCAGGCTTTTGTATCGAAAGGCATAAGGTATAAGGTGAAAGTTCAATATGTATAATTACAATATGACTTTCAAATTGATTATCATGAAAACATTCCCAATATCGGATGATAATATAAGATTGCATAACTAAGATATAAAAATTTGTTGAACTTTATAGAATAAGTAATTGCATAGTTGGCACGAATTAAGGCCAAGTACGTATATATTTTGGAAAAACATAATCATTGATCTGCATGTAGATATACTTTATCAAATTACATATTTAAGCATACGATGATGTAAGTGAGTAGAATAAATCACGCGTAGGATAAGTATATTAATGACCGTTGTTTTAAATAAAAATTACGTTTTTTCAATCGCGAAAGGCATTATTTATGAAATTTATAAATGCAAATAGTACGTAGATTATGCTTATTACCTATATAATTGTTAAAACGCCATCAATGCCTTTTGTTTATAACAATGTATAAATGATAAAGTCGTTAATACGTGGCTGCGATGCCGAATTTCTTGCAAGTATTAACGAACGATAATTTTAAGAAAAGGAAACAATTATAACAATTTTCCTAAATCCGAGTTATTGAAAAAGCATTAATACGTAAAGTATGCAAAGATTATGAGCTGAAATGGCGATGCACTGTGGTACGGAACTCCCACAGTATTGCCAGTAAGTATTTACCAATGTCAGCGCACCGACTTGTTAACAAAATTTTGCCCGGTTAGGTAAGTCCCGAGAGATCCTCGAGAATCGACGACGCGAATGCCATCGCGGACGAGTCGCGACAGCTCGGCCGCGCACGAAAGAAATTTTCCAAAGTTGTAAGGACATGCGCCGTGTATAGGAGCTGGCAAGCACCTTGGGCTGATCTGCGCACATTTCACCTTCGACTCGCACACGGCAAGGTTACTTTAAATTGCCGGGGAGCCGCTCCTCCGTATAGGCGCACGAAAGCAGCGCGACGCTATCCGGACACTCGGGCATGTTAATTTATGTTGAACACCTTAGTGCAGTTTACCGATGCAAGGTTTCATCCACTCAATCGCACAATTTCTATACGCACTACCAGTTTCCAAGACCCTTTCTATGCTAATGGCGCGGGCTCGCCAAGATTTTTCAACCTCTTGTCTCTTACCTGCTCCATCTGGTATTGTGTGTAGGCCGTGCTCTTCTTTCTTTAGTCTGACTTATTTCAAAATATTCTTCTTTATGGCTCCAACTTGTCGGTGACATCGCTTTGGCCATAAAAATAAAATTTACTTATTGCTATAGTTTTTAGCAATAACGTTGAGAGTTGAGAGAGCGAGAGAGATTTCGTATCGGAATCCACCGATATCGAAAGCATTATTAAGGCTTATATTTCGGTATTAACATTCAACTCAAAAAAAAAAAAAATAAGTTAAATGGCACTTTAAGCTGCGCGTTACGATATTCAATTATTTACATACCTTCGCTAAATATACATTAAAGTTAATTTGCTTCTTGCTTTTTCGCAAGTCTTATTATTTTGTAAAAATAGGTCAAAGCGATTTTTTTTTTAAGGGAATCTTTTTTTTCAGTATGAAATATCGAATCGTCTTTTCTAAATGTCGTTTTTTTTTTTTTTTTTTTTTTACTTTTTCATTGACAGGTTGCTGCAGTATTTCTCGAGAAATATATAATGTATGACGATACTACAACAATAACACTTTATTATAATTAGTAGATATAAATTACGAAACATTAAAATAATTGCACAATGATAGACATTGTAAACACGTATATAACTATAATTGTAAATAAAATCATGTTAAATTAAAATTAACAGAAAAATGTCTAGAAAAGTCTAGATCAACAAATAATAGTCGTCAATTTATTAACAAGAAATGAGTTATTTTTTTGTCCTTACAATACTTTGTTCTCATTGACGAAAAGGATCTCAAAACTCTGAGGCATAAAGAATATATTCATCATAAATAGAACTATTATTTTCAATATAATTGTATGGCATTAAGAGCCATTACATTATTTATATTCAGCTTTTCATTTTTCTGATCCAACTTCACGTTATCATCCACATTCTATTATCTAAATTATTATTATATTTGCACAATTAAAGCATTTGGATTATACAAAGTTGTTCACGCCGATAATAATATTAGATCTTATTAGTTTGAAACAATAATTAAATTAAAAAAATGGTTTCATTACGCGTAATCTTTCATTAGTTAGCGTGAGTAATGTAAAAGTTATTTTAATTAAAGGCTTTGCCTACGTGACGTTATATCGCAAATGAACCGCGTGCATGTTCAGATTGTTTATGCCGTACCTACTATTCAATGGATTATTGTCAACTTATAGCAATTGGGGCTTTTTTTGCCTTTTAGTATCACGTAAAGAACGACGCAAAATGAAAAAACTGCCCATTCGATGAATATTCAAACTTTCCGGTCTTTTCTTTTCGTTTTTTCTTCTTCTTGTTGTTGTTATTAAATAATTACGTCTCTCCAAATTATTGCGCTCGTACAAATGCTGACACGCCGTGAGCGTAGAGAGGGAGAAAAGGGATAATGGAATGGTCGTATAGCAACCATAAGTACAGTTTCGTATTTAGTCCGGAAGTGCAGTGTACTGAATACACTGTAACCGCGAAACGGTACTTTATTATCTGAGAATATACAATCTCAAGATCACGCGATCGTATTTCGCTTCAGATAAGAACCAGAGAGTATTGGCTCCGAAGAAGCTCATCCAAATTCGATATCAATTTCACTTCCGCTGTTGTGGTGTAGAACGAATAGGCCTTAGCTTGCAGAGGCCAGAAGTTGCATATATGGGGAAAATGATTTGGAGATCAGTGATATTCTCCCAACATTTTGTTGGATTCCAATGGACTAATAACGTGACTTTGAAATATATATTTGTTCTTAAATTTAAAAGCATCGATATAACAACAATAATAACAACGACACTAATAACAACGATAATCGTTAGAACAATATTACCATA